AGTTTTCAATTTGCTGATCTTCTGTTGTATTGAAATGGAGTGAATTCTTCACTTAACAAAAGCTGTGCCTTTTATCAGAGTTATTTTGCATGAGAATCCTGTCTCAAACAAACTCCCTTTTGGATAAAATGTGACAGCTGAGTTATTTGGGTTGAATTTCTAGTTTTTGAATATGCCTGATGAGTGTTCTCTTCCATACTTTGAGTTTGTTGGTATTAAAAACCATATTGTTTTAAAATCAAATATAGACTGCGAAGAAAGAGATAAATAAAAGTAGGTGGAATATGAGGAAGGTAATGGAAGGATTATGGACGATTTTAAAGATATCTATAATCATTGCTATAGGAATTTTTTAAATATTTAAAATAATGCAAAAACTTTTATATTTAAAGATCCATTTTATGCTTACTCTGGAACTACCCTAACAAGGTTGAACCATAGGAATTTCCAAAATTTGACTGATTTTGACCTACAAAAACCATAAATGACTTAATTACAACAAACTAACATATTAAACATTATCTGCTAATCAATGTGCCTTGAATAATCTTAATATATGTATGAATTGTTGAACCTCCTAGTTTTTCATATCTGTGTTTCTCCAGTCATTCATTTAGCCACCATCCCAGCCAGACAATAAATATGTACTGAGCATTTCCTGTTTCACCTGTGAGTTAGCCTCTGGGGCTACACTGGCTCTGCTTTCATGGAACTTACGGTCTAGTGGACATTCCACTTCTATCATGTGCTTCTCTCTTTCCTTATGAGTTACTAACTGTAAATTCAGAAGTTTCTTTTTGAGTCATGGGGACATGGCATCAATAAAGAAGAAAAGATTGGGCAAACTTTCCATCTGATACATTTCCTGTATGCTTCTCCTTCATGAACCAATCCTCAAAGGTCATGCAACACTGTGGTTCCAGCAGGAAGGCTGGATTGTGGGGCCCCTTTCTCCTCCATTCAATCGCTTCATAATAATTTCAGCAGAATGGAGTCCACAGAGACTGTGCAAATTCAGGGAACAGAGAATCCTCTACTTCCATCAGGGCCTTTCCCTGAACAGACACTGCAACATACCCCGAATTATCGCACACTGAAATTTCTGAAATACCACCACCATTCCATCCTAACCATCCCTCTGTTTGTCAGCTTCAGGTGAGTGGCCTAGCTCCTAGTTCTCTAGCTCTCAGGGCTCTGCCCTCAGCCCCTACTCCCAAACTGTGTGGGAGACATCAGGATCAAACTCGGCAGATCTCAAGACAACACACTTCAAGTCTGACTTATAGGCCTACCCTTACATGATATGTCACATTTTGGCACCTCTGGGCAGGTACCATTGTTTGAACAACTGTAAACACACACATATATCCATGACCTGACAGATTCAGAAAATTAGGAGCTTGTAATCTCTGAGGTTTTAGTACCAGAGCGATGATCCTCGTTTCAAAATTTTCAGTGGGAATTCATACGAGAAAATACGTGAATGGGTAAGCGGTCAAGTATTCCAAAGAGCATATGAATTATGGATGGATTTGTGAAATGCAACTTAAAATAACATAAAATAACAGGGTTGTTGCATCGTTGTGAAGGTATTTTTATTTATATACATATGTAATCTCACTTCCATTTATGCATACATGTGCTCACATAATTTATATATATGAAACCGAAGAGTTAAAAGATGACCGTGACACTGTGGCCAAAAGAATCTTCCTAAAATGATTTGAAGCATCCTGGAGCTTATAGCAAACAAAACAGCTCAATACTATATAAATTTACATTTAAAAAGCTTTGAGTTTTGTCAGAAATTAAATTAACAAAGCAAACATTAAGAGAAGATCATGAAACTTCCTGAAAGAGAGAAAGAGGTTTCTGGTCCTAAGAAATNGCCTTTATCAGCATAAATGTCTTCTTTCCAGAAATATAATCAATACGATGAATACATACCTTCCAGAATCTCAATTTGCTGATGAATCAGTATCTGATCTATCTATAGAATAAAAAAAATTAAGCTGTAAATTTATACCACGTTTATTGAGCCAATCAAATTAACATTAGTTTTTATATTTTAAATAATGCATATAATCAATTATCAATATTTATCAATATTTAATGATAGTTTACATTACTTCTAAGTACAACTAAAGTTAATACATTTTTAATTAAAAATATTTATTGAATGTGTTCTTAATTAATGTGGACAAATTCAGGTCATAAAAAAATTTTCTTTTGGGCCCGCCGAATGGTGTGTTGGTTGAGTTGGCTTGGGACGCCAGCTCTGAGGCAACAGGGCCCCGGTTCGGATCCCACATTAGGGCCAGTGACGCGGCGCCCTCTACAGCTAAGATGGTGAACAACAGGTCGACCTGGAGCTGGGCTGCCATGAGTCGCCAGCAACAGTGTAGGCTGCGGTGGGGCTGTAGTGGGCTCCCGTAAACTACCGTGAGTGGCTGGCAGCCAGTGTGAGTGGCGGGCAGCCAGCTTGAGCTGCCTGAGCCGCCATGTGCAGCCATCTAATGGCCGGTGAGCGACTGCCTCACCTGGGAAGAGCGCAATGATCATACCAACATGGGCCAGTGAAGTGACGTCCTCCACAACTAGGCTGAAGAACAAAAGGACAGCAACTTGTCTGTTCCCCTCCCCAATTCCCCAATAAAATCTTAAAAAAAAAAAATTGTCTTACACTGGAATCTCTATAAAAACGAGAAAAAAAATGTTCCTTCTAGAAAAGGTCTTAAGAGATATTAAGACCTTTATCCACTTAAAGAATGTTTTTCTACAAATACAAAATTTTATTTTCAAGTGTAACTGAAATAATCTATTAGTAGTAGGTGATAAGTCCCCTATATGTTTTGTAAGACCCTAATTTTTTTTTTTAAGTCTGTTTAGGGTACTTCTTGGAGAATTTATGAGGTACTAAAATTTCTTATATGCTGCCCAAGTGAATTGTGGGAAATAAATTAGTGCAGAGTACAAGAGAGGCAGCTCATTTACTGAAAACTAGTTGGATATAATAGGAATATTTGTTTATAGATTAGACACATAGAATTTCATATTCCTACTCTGCCTACCAGATTTCTAATACCAAACAAAATGGAACCTCAACTTGCTGAGATAAACTATCAT